TATTTCTATGATCAATGTTATTGGAATTTTAATAGAAATTCCATTAAATCTGTATAATGCTTTTCATAGTATAACCATTTTGACACTGTTAATTCTGCCTATTCAAGAGCATGGGAGATCTTTCCATCTTCTAAGGTCTTCTTCAATTTCTTTCTTTAGTATTCTATAATTTTTATTGTAGAGGTCTTTTGCCTCTTTTATTAGATTTATTTCCCATTTTTTAAGACTATTGTGAATAGGGTAGTTTTCCTATTTTCTATTTTGGTGGATTCATCACTGATGTATAGAAACACATTGGATTTATGAGTGTTAATTTTATATGCTGCTACTTTGCTGAACTCATTTATTAGTTCTGGAAGTTTTTTGGTGGATTTTTTTAATCTTCTCAATTTAGAATCTTGTCATTGGCAAATAGTGATAGTTTGAGTCTTTCTTTTCCTACTCCTATCCCTTTAATTTCTTTCTTCTCTCTAGTTGCTCTGGCTAAATTTTCAAGGACAATGTTGAAAAAAGTGATGAAAGAGGGCATCCTTGTCTTATTCCAGTTCTTGGAGGGAATATTTTCCATTTTTCTCCATTTAGAATGATACTGGCCTTGGGTTTAGCATATATATCTTTTAATATGTGGAGGTATGTTTATACTATCCCTAGTTTTTCTATTGTTTTGAACATGAAGTGGTGCCGTATTTTATCAGATGATTTTTATGCACCTATTGAGATGATCATATGATTCTTGTCTTTAAGTCTATTGATGTGATGAATTACGTTTATTGATTTCTGTATGTTGAACAAAACTTGCATCCCTGGGGTGAACACCACTTGACTGTGGTGAGGTTTTAAATATGTTTTTGTATGCAATTTGCCATAATTTTATTGAGAATTTTTGCATCTATGTTCATCAGGGATATTAGTTTGAAGTTTTCTTTCCTTGAAGTGTCTTTCTTTCATTTTGATATTAGGGTGATACTAACTTCTTAGAATGAGTTTGGAAGGGTTCCCTCTTTTTTTATCATGGAATAATTTGAGAAGAATTAGTGCTAATTCTTCTTTGAAGGTCTAGTAGAATTTGAGAATCTCTCTTCTAGTACTGGATTTTCTTAATTTGTAAGCTTTTGATGGTGTCTTCTATTTCATTGTTTGAAATTGATCTGTTTAAATTGTATGTCCTCCTGATTCAGTTTGGGTAGGTCATATATCTCTAGAAATTTGCTGATGTCTTCAAGATTTTCTGTATACTAGGCATTTTCATTATAATGTGACTTGGTGTGGATCTGTTGTAATTTTGTCCATTTGGGGTCCTATTCGCCTCTTGTATTTGATTTTCCATTTCAGTCTTTAGAGTTAGGAAATTTTCTGATATTATTTCATTGAAAAGAATGTGCATTCCTTTGATTTGTATTTCCATGTCTTCATCTATCCCAATAAATCTTAAATTTGTTCATTTTACATTATCCCATAATTCTTGGAAGTTCTGTTCATGGTTTCTTAACATCTTCTCTCCATGGTTAACTCTATTTTCAAGATTATATATTTTATCTTCAGTGCCTGAGGTTCTGTCTTCCAAATGATTTTAGTCTGTTGGTGATGCTTTCTGTTGAATTTTTAATTCGGTTTATTGTTTTATTCAGTTAGAGGATTTCTACTTGATTTTTTTTCTAATTTTTTTTCAGAATCTCTGCCTCTATATTGAAGTGATCTTTAGCTTTCTGTATTTTCTTTCTGATTTCATTCCTTATACTTTACTTTTCAGATCAGTTTAACAACATACATTCTAAACTCATTCTCTTTCATTTCTTCTACTCTTGTATCCATGGAAGACAGCAGCAGGTCATACAAGCAGCTGTGTTGGAGGGGGAGGGATAGAGTCAGGTTTCTGTGACCAGTTGTCCCCTGTGTAAACCTCTGTCCATGTTTGATTTTCTCCTGGTCACTTAAGCACACTCTGTTGTGCATTGTGTGTTTATTGGGCCAGTATTTTGGGCCAAGCTCAGGTTTGCCAGGAATTGGCTCCTTGACCTGCTGGCCCCACACTGTGGCTGCAAAATGGTTCCTTCCTTTGTCCTCCCCACACTGCCCGGAGAGATGGCAGCTGCATTCCCTGCACAGTGATGTCATGCAACACGCCTTTCAGGTTTGTTAGGCAATATTCTTAGTCTTTAAACACTCCATACCCAGGCCTCTGGCCTACCCCAAATTAAGGTTCCTTTAATTCCCTTATCTCTCTACTATTTTCATGGAGGGACCACTCTGGCTGGTGCCTTTGGCCCGGCTGCAGTAGCAGCTGTGCTCCTGGGGACTTTTTCTTTATTTTTAATATATCCAACCTCCTGTGGCTCTGGTATGCTTTAAACGTCCAGTTTTAAATTCCAGTAAAGTCCCCACACACACACACACTTCTTGTTTTCGTTCACCCACCTTATGGAGAAGCTGCCTGTCTACTTTCTTGGTTTCACGTCACACAGTAGCCAGGAACACAACCGCCTCTATTCTGCCATCTTGAAAAACCCCTCAGACTAAGTGACTTCTAAATGCATGTTAAGTTCTAGAAAGCACCAAGAAAATAGCAGGAGTTCAATAAATGTTAGCTCCCATCTTTAACCTTCTTTTGATTCTGCTCTTCCACTAAGTAAACGTGTTTCTTTCACATCTGGAGCATGTATTAAATTTAGATTATGTTTCCCATCTAAGAACAGATCTTCATGATATGCCTTTTATTGTGATGATGCCTGCAACTTGTATCTGTGATCCTCTTAGAGTTTGTAAACTGTGATGCACATCTATTAGCATGACCTGGGTTTCACCTGAGAGATGATTGCTTTCCAGGAATTTGAGCAGGTGCCTTTACATTACTTTTCAGGAACTTTTGTGTGTTGTGTAAGTAGGGTGGGGTGGGGTGGGGTGATGGCACAGGCTGTTTTAGGATCCTCATGTGGTCTATCTGCCTCCTGTCTCTCCCTGTTTTAATTTGTTCTGTACTTTCAATCAGGAGTATTTGTTTCTGTTTTTCATTGTTATGTCCTCAACACCTGAGTGCCTGACCTACAGTACAAATGAATGAAATCATAGTATCTTCTCAAAATTTCTTACTCTCTTACTTTCCAGGGTCCACCAAAGCACATTGATTTTATTCAATCTCAAATGTCCTCTGTAACTATTGTCACAGATGATTTATCCTCTATATCCATGGCAGATTGGCTCTAGGACCCTAGTGGATACCAAAATCCACAGATACTCAAGTATTTATATAAAATGATGGAGTGCTTGCATATAACCATACATATTCTCCTGTACACACAATTGCATATATTACCATTTATACAGCAAATTCTATGTAGTTATTATATTTTTTAGGAAATAATTACAAGAAAAAGTCTGTACATGCTAAGTACACATATAATTTTTTTTAGAGAGAGAGAGAGAGAATTTTTAATATTTATTTTTTAGTTTTCAGCAAACACAAGATCTTTGTTTGTTTGTGGTGCTGAGGATTGAACCCGGGCCGCACGCATGCCAGGCAAGCACGCTACCGCTTGAGCCACATCCCCAGCCCATACACATATAATTTTTACAAATATTTTCAACCCAAGGTTGATTGAATCCATAGATGTATAATCTATGTATATAGAAGGCCAACTCTACTTCTCCAAATATATACCTTAAGTTTGTGTTAAATTGAATCGTTTGCAATTATTTAGAACCCCCCTTCTTTCTTTCTTTTATGTCTGTAGACGTGCTCTCTAGAATGTGCTGTCAAATGTGATGCCCTCATTTCTTTCATCACAAATGCCACCCATCTCCCAGGACTTGCTCAAACTCTCCTCTGAATGCCATCACCATCATTTTATACCTTTCCTCTGTCATTTAACTATTTTTATGTTCATAAAGTTATTTGTACATGATATGTCTACCTTTAGAACAAGGACTTTGTTTCACCCGTGTTTTCAACACAGCACATGCACGTAGCAATTATCTGACAGCAAATATTTAATAAAGAACCTAGTGCCAGATGCTGAGCCCAGTGACAAGCTGGCTTCATGGAAATGCAAATGATAGTTGCTTCCTGGTTCTCTGAAAATATTTGCTGATTGGATGATTAAATTTTAATTTTACACGTTGAGTATCATGGGTTATAAAATAGAATTGATATCGGGTATGTTGTGTCACAATCCACGTTGTGTGATTCTGGAACAATGACATATGCTTCTAAGAGTCTTGGTTTTCTTGTTTGAAAACAGTAACAATAGACCCACACTGTAGCATTGAGATGTCGTATAGGGGTGGAGGTTGAGGTCTTATAAACAACAGGCTAGTACTGAAGGATGCATCAAATGTAAGTGTTTCCTTTCTTCCTTATAGAAGTTCTGTTTGAACACAAGCAAAATGAGTTTCTGATGGGTGCCATTAACTTTTTATTGTTGTTGCTCTAGGTCTAGCTCTCTCAATCTTCTTTGAATGGTCTGAGCACCTCTCACAGTGCCTGGCCATGAGGGATGGTCTAGGCACTAGCCTGATGCTGTTGCCTATTCCTCCTTCTCGAAGCTCTATGGCCAATACCTGCTTGCTCAAGTGGTTATAAATGTCTGCTCTCTTCCTACTCTCGGTAAAAATACTTATAGGGATTCACAGTTTTGCTTTTTAGATCTGTGTTTCTTCTAGGACATCCAGCATTACAATTACTACTATTTGTGGGTGCATTTTCCCTTTTGCAAAATACCTTCACATCCAGTGTTTAATTTGGTACTCTTGGCAAGTCTGTGAGCATCCTAGGGCGGGTACCAGTACTGTCATATGCACTTTTCAGATGAGGAAATAGAGTCTCAGAGTTTAGATGTTCTGCCCAAGATCACAGAGTTAAAAGGTAACAACAACAACAGGAGTTGATCAAATGCTTTCCCCCTGGCTACAAATTTGGTGCCCTCTCTACTCAGCCTGGATGCAAAGGGGTATGTGAAACTGTAGCATTCTTCAAGCTAACAACCTCCTCCATTCTTCTTTGGCAGAGGCGTCCATCCTGAGCTACGACGGCAGCATGTACATGAAGATCATCATGCCCATGGTCATGCACACTGAGGCTGAGGATGTGTCCTTCCGCTTCATGTCCCAGCGAGCCTACGGGCTCCTGGTGGCTACTACCTCCAGGGACTCTGCTGACACGCTGCGCCTGGAGCTCGATGGGGGTCGAGTCAAGCTCATGGTTAACTTAGGTATCGTATGAAGGACCCTCTGCTACTCTGTTTGGGCTTGTCTTCCCTTTCTTTTCTGATTTTCATTGGTTTGATTGAATTCTTTGTTTGTTTCTTGAAAGTTAGCTGCTCACCTCTTGTTTAATAGACCAAGGATAAAACCCAACAGCAACAAAAACCTTCTCCTTGTTTCTGCATGAGGTTTTGATGTCAATTTCTGGTTTCTGACAGTGGTGGTTTCTTTACTAGATTATTTGTTTTTCTAAGTTTCCGTTCTTGGTTTTTTGGAATCGTTTAGCTTTGTGTAAAACACGCTACTTTGGTCCATCTTTTGATCAATCATATTCCCATTAAGTCCAATTCCTTGGTCACCCCTCAAAACAGTCAACACCAAGGGCACAGAAGGGGCAGGAGAAGAGGCAACATGTAAGGTTGGGTTTAAGAGGACTAAGGACATCAGCAGGGTGAGAAGCACATCATGTCGGGCTCCTGAAGACTATTGAGACTAAGATTCTGATAGCCCTAGAGATTATGAGGTCTCCTAATTCTTTCTTCTAGAAAGACAAGTCAGATGGTTGTTTTGTCTCATTGAAAATATGTTTCCCAAAGTTGAGAGTCTCTGACATGTGGAAGGAAAATGTGCCCCCTGATAATGAACCTCACTTTCCTTCCCAACACTCTTAACCACTTCTCAGCAGCCCTTTAGCAAAAGATTGTGACCTCACATTGTAACCTACAAATTCCACTGTACAACGAATATCAATTTTACAGTACATTTGAAAATTATGACGACTTCAATTCTCTTGGGATAGGATCTATTCTTTGACTACAGTCACCTATAATGAGTACCATGAAAATTCTTCGATGGCCTCACATTTTCTCCTGGCTATTTACTCTCTTTACTGGATTTTAATGGATCTTTAGTGGAGAATGGGGGCCTTGGGTTTTGGAAGAAACAACCCACCAATCATTTTTTTCTGATCTTCCAATTCAGCAGAAAGTCAATGCCCAGTGCTGACAGGGTTAGTGTAATAACTGGGTCCAAACTTTCCAAGCTAATAGATTCATTTGCCTGTGTAGTATAAGTTTGGATACCAAACTCCCTTATAAAGATTTCAGTGGAGCAGCTTGTTAAAGGTCCAGGGACGACATGAGGGACAAATGTACTAGATTTAAGACCATGGCAAATTCAAGAAGGCCTGGTGGAAGGTGGAACTTTGAATCCGTACCAGTCCTATTCTCTGTCAGGTCAACTCATCCTACTTGCAAAATGCCTACACTGTAATTATAAAATCTCTAGTACACAGAGAACTGTTTTGAGCAGTGGCTTATTTAGTTATGTCTTTTTTGTTGTTTCCTTCTCATTTGCAGCTTTTACAACACTATGCCCTTTCTCTTGCGCAACCTCATTTGATTTCCGTTGTCACTGTGTTTCTTGGTTTTCTTTAGTTTGTGTGTATGTATGTGTTTGGTTATTTTAGGTTTTGTTTTTCTCTTCTGCTGGATCTTTTCATGTGTGTTCTTGAGTTCTCAATCTTCCTGATCATCAACCATGGTAAATCAAAAGATGGTATTCAACCCTTCAAAGGCCCAAAGCCTGCGGCCCGCATAGCAAACAGCCTTGTGAACAGAGAGTACTGAGCAGCCTACAGGGGCTGGCATACCCCTGTCCCTCCCATCTTCCCTTCCGTACACCATCTTCCCACCTTAAATAGACCAGTTTAGGGATATAGTACCTAAAACCAACCACCAGCAACTTTGATCACCTACTACTCTGGAAAACAGCAGAAGGGATAAAACACAAAACAAAACAGACAGAAAAATTTCCTACATAGCCTATAGAAAAAGAAGATGGAGACAATTTTTATCTCTGCCTCTAGTTCAAAGTCAAAGAGGGATGTGCCCATGAGGATGAATCAGCCCCGTGGGACCCTGGGGGAGTGCACCCCGTGCCGTTAAACAGACAACTTGTTTTTCCTTATTAGATGTTGTTTTGTAAAGATTAGAAAGTCAACTGTGACAAGTCTTAGGAAAAAAAGAGGACAAAGGGAGGGATAAAAGGGGATGTGCACTGAAGGAAGAGATAGAATCTTACACACTCACACACATGCACACGCATACTCAGAATTAGTCATAGACCAATGTATATTCCTAGAAGCAAATTTTTTTCTATTTTAAACTGTAACCAAAGTCTGGGAGCTGTGCTTTTCTTAAAGAATTTGGCCTTTTGGCTTCTTTTAGTACACCATCCATCTAACTTGTCCAAAGTTAAAATATCTTGGACAAAAGACAGCCCCTCCCTGTAGAGCACTGTGTTCCTCCAAAAGAAGTCATGATTTCCTTTTTCCCTAAAGGGTATGGTTCATCACAACTGCTGTTTGGGGTTTAACTTTATTTCAAACCTTACCCGAGAAAGCTAAATTTTAGGGCTGGGGTTGTGGCTCAGTGGTAGAGCGCTTGCCTAGCATGTGCAAGGCACTGGGTTCAATTCTCAGCACCGCATATAAATACATAAAGGTCAATTGGCAATTAAAAAATATTTTTAAAAAGAAAGCTAAATTTCAATTTTTTGTGCTTGTGAACATGTACCTTCTCATAATCAGGCTTTGACCAAGGGTTTCTCTATTTTGTCTCCTAAGGACACACCTTTATAAGCATTTTCTTTCTTCCTGCTACAAATTTACATTTCCTTTTTTTCGTGATTATAGAAGAAAACATCTCCAAGCAGAGTTTGCATTCACAAGCCATACCCCAAACTTCAAATGACCACTTTGTTCTCTTATTGCATTTAAGATATCTTGGTTTTATAGCACATGCACAGATATTACTATCGATTTCAAAGTGCTCACCTATATAAGTTCATGGTAGAAAATCCTAGTTCCTTTGATGTAACCTATCGCTACATGCCAATGAGACTAGGATTTTCTAAGGACTTTGTTTTTGAAAACAGCCATTTGTGCTAATAGCAGGTGTGAGGAAGAATATCTTGCATTACATGTTTTTAAAAGTTGTGAGGTTGGCTACTGATTAACCATATTTTTCTCCTTGATTATTAAAAAATACAATAGCAATATTTTATTATTATAATATAGTTGAAAATTTAAACGACCTTGTCTTAATTTAATCTCTTAATAATTTTGTGAGATAAATCACAAAAATGTTTTTACATTGACTTTTACAAATGTGAAACAAGCAAGAAATATGACTTTTCAAAGCTTATGCCAAAAGTTGGTAGCTGGGACTATAATTCCTGTCTCTAAACTGCTAGATCATTATGGATTATCTGTAAACCCTACAGGTCAATATTGTGGATCAATGATGTGATGTTCTTAATGACTTCAAACTGCTTTCATGATGGTCACCTTTGTAACCTGCTAGAGGGAGATCTCCTTTTCCCTCGATGCTCAATTTAATCGAGCCACACTACAGAAAAAAGAAACCTGCAGGGGGTACAGCCTTCAGGGTCCTCAGCAGAGAGCCAGAAACACTCTGCCATGGTGGAGGTTCTGGGCAGTGTGAGGCAGTTTGGTTAACTGAATTGAAATTCTCCAGATATTCTCCCTCTAGCCTTGCTGACTACTGTTTTATGCATTATTGAAAATATACAACTTTTAGAAACATTCATCTCTTTCACATTCAGCCCAAAGCTCATCAATATGGACAATGATATTTTTCTTCATTTGCTAAAATAAAACAACAACAACAACAAAAAACTAAACAAATAGACATTGCATATGTACATACACAAAACAAACAAAAAACCAAATGTGTACATAAACGCACACCTCAACTGTCATGCCAAGACTCAGGCAGGATTTTTTTTCAAGAGAGTTAAGTCTGGCTCCTACCAAAGATAGATCTAAAGGAAATGGACATCTTGGGCCCATTCTCCCAGCTCATTTTTTCATTAAAGTATATATCCTCACTACCCCAAACATAGCCTCAGAGCTTGTGAAGAAGAGACCAGGGTAGATTTTTCTCCCCAAACCACTAATTCTTCAGGCTAAGTAACAAAATAATTCTTGTCTTGACTTAAACAAATTGACTGCTGTCTCGGAAAACCCAGGTCCTCTCATGGTTTAGGCACAGTTCACATGTCATGAAACCATTTGGATGACCTAGAGGGATGAGGCTAACCCAGCACTTCTCCCTAGACAATATTCTTAACTGACAATAAAATATGCAGCTGCACAGAAACCAAAGCAGAAAGCCACTTCTTAGATTTGTGACTTGGGGCCCACTCCTTGGCTCCTCTCTCCTGAGCATGCACAGTCATGGGTTTCTTCTCCCTCTTCAATACTCTAGAGAGGGGCCTTGCTCCAGCTTTGGGTGATGGTAGGTGCAGCTGATAGCTGAAGTCCCACCTGCTCCCCATGCCTGCCCTCCCTCTCCCTGGTCCCCTCAGGGGCATGGCCTCCTCTGTCTGGTGATCGTACCGGTTGCTCCAGGGCTGTTTGCTCCCACTTTTCTGTTGCGGTTGACGACACATGACAAACCTAACCGCACGAAACCAAACCCAGATTTTTCTCAAGAGATGTTCTTCTGGGGAACAGATAAGCTGCCCGCCTCCTCCCTCAGAATGACTGGGTATTGTGAATTGTTCCTATCTGGATTTTCACCTGGTTTCCACTCTTCCCTGCTGGAGGCCACTGCTTCCATTTTCACATGCTTGATTAGAACAGGTTCCTTTGTGACATTTAAATGGTGGCATTACCCTCCATAACTCCTCTAAAATGTACTGAGTCAACCTTCACCAGCAGGAGAGCACAGTTGGCAAAGGTCCTTTTCCCTGTACCATTCTGCCTTTTTTCCTATCATTTAATTTCTACCTTTTAGTGTTTGGCTTCACACAAATTATCACTGAAATTTCCAACAGCATAACCCAAACTTCGGTCCAGTCTGACAGCTGTTACCTGGCAACGAGCTATTTCTCCAGCCATTTCTGCCCAAGCCCCTACCAATACCCACTGACTCTACTCAGGAATTTTTATGTGGTGAGTGTGCCTGTGACTCTTAAGTAGAGATTAATAAAATGATGAACACTCTGATCACTTGGCACGCAATTCCTTTCTGGTTATCAGGACAATTAGATTTTTTCAAAACCCTTTCTTTCCCATTAAAAAAAACTAACAAACAAACAAAAAAAAACTAAAGAATTTTCTCTCCTCAAGATGCAGAGAGTGAAATAGGCAGGATGTCAAAGGTGCCCAGGACCTCCTCCACACAAGCCTGCCCTGCCTTCCCCCTGAATGCTGTAGGTCCCTGATTTTGCCTGGGCATTCAGGCCGGAAGACAGAGATGGGCTTCGTGAGTGGGTTGGTCTGGAAGCCTTTGAAGCAGCAGTGATCAGAAAAGCCAAATTAATTATGACAATATCCTACAACTCCTCTTGCCCTGTACCCAATGACCCCACCTCTCTAAAATCTGGGATGGGTGTTTGTGCGGTTAGCTGTTTGCAAGTGGCCATTTTATGACAGGACATGACCAGGTGGTGTTAACCCTTTCCTTGTCTCTAAGGGTGATGGCAAGTCTGCCTTTACAAATTTCTGTAGCATTCGGGACCTAAGGAGAGGGTGGAGGGCATTTGTTTTTAGATAAAGAGAAAGGGTTAAATACTGCACTGAGAAAATTCAAGGACTGATTTTTTAAAAAAAAAAAAACAATACAATGTGTCAGACTGATGAGATGTCTCTTTGGAACAGGAATAATCAAAATGGCATTCATGCTACTTCTAAAGTTAAATTTTAAGAATGTAAATTGTAGGGGGAAATAGAATATAATCTGCATTTGGTGGGGGAAATTTTGCCTAATTTTCCAAGTTTAACAAATTAATATTTCAAAGTGCAGGTTTGGAATAATTTCTATAAATGAATAGGCTTTTGGAAAAAAATAAACATGCTTGGTGTCTATTGTGGATATATATGTATACCAGTATATATCTCTATACATATGTGTATATATATATATGTGTGTGTGTGTATATATATATGTATCCAACTTTACTAAATAATATACTGTACATATACACCCACCCTTAAACTTGTACATACTGTGTATATATAAAATGGCCACATTTCTTGCGTGTGTCTGTCCCCGGAAGGGTGGACTGATTGTTTTTGGATGTCTGCAGCTGTTACCTTGAAGGATGCAATTTCATCTTTCATTTATTTTTCCCCATCTAGACTGTATCAGGATAAACTGTAACTCCAGTAAGTTTTCCCTCAAGTTTCATTTTGTTCTTAAAAAAAAAAATAGAAAAAAAACTGACTTTATTTTGTTTACTATTTTATGAGCTGTTTTTTCTTTGAATTATTTTATTTTTTGACAATGGAGTTGGGGGGAACTGGGATTGACAAGATGGAGGGCTGGGCTGATGGTAAGGGCTGAGTATGACTGGGATGTGGTTTCTGAATCGGGGTAGGTCCTCTCTTCTTTTCTTGCATTTGATCTATATGCAGAAAAAGGAGAAAAGGGCCCATGGATAATGAAATGACTGGAAAATGACTTGAAATGGTAATGTGTTGTCTTTGGGAAATAACCCCCTGGGGTGAACAGAAAGTCTTAGAGCAACCAACATGCACTTCTCCACTACCAAAAACTTCAGGTGATAAAAGCAGAGTTCATGACCCAGAAGTGGCTGCCAACTCTGACATCTCCTTCCTGGCATATGGGGCTACCGGGGTTTTCTTATGAGGGTGGGCAAAACAACTGCCCTTGGTGTAATATTTGAACCAAAGGCTTGAGACATGCTCTACTAATAAGGAGGGATTGCTGACTGCCATCCAGATGTCCTGGTTCTTGAAGAAGTCTCCTGTAAGATATAGTCTGGAAACTATTCATGTCATTTCTTCCTCTGCCCAGAAATGAATGTTAACCAGAGTTGATGAGAAAGGGGAAGAGGAAGATAAACAGGAAAGATGAATGAGGGAAGAACAGGCCTAGACCAGGCAAGGAGAAAAGTAAAGAACATGCTTGAGTGTTAGTGTGTAGCAGTCAGGCTCATTACTACTAACTGCTGCAACAAGCAACCACAAAATCCCAGTGTCTCAACAAAAGATAGATTTCTTTGTTGTTAAGGCAGTCTAATGCCAGCTGTAACACTCTAACAAATAGATTACTTCAAAAGTGACTCAGGATTCAGGATTCTTCCATGAGGTGGGTCCACCACCTTGGAGATTTTTATTCCCTGCTGAATCCATAGGAAAGAGAGAGCCTGGTAGCTATGCAATGTGAGTAAGTGCTTTGCCCAGAAGTGACATACATCCTTCTGCCCATTATTTTCTCGTTTGTTGTAAAGGAAGCTGGGAAATGTAGTCTCATTGTGCATAGGAACAGAAAAATCATCTTAAGTGGACATATAATGCACAGAATTCTCATTATTAGCTCATCTTTTTATTGTTGTTCTTTCTTTGCTATGGTCCTTTTGGAGGAACAAAAGTAGAGAGGGAAAAGAAAAGAAAATATTCCAACTCCTATATTTCATTTACCTTGTTGATTCCGTCCTATTCGAGCTTTCACAGGTACTAGTTCAAAGTTCTTTTTTGGTAGAAGATCTATTATCAGAATGACAAACTATGAAAGCCCAATTCTCTTTTATGGGCAAATGTTCCATATAAATTAACAAAAGAAAAAGAAAAAAATTCAAAATCTGTATAAGCAACCTTTCCTAGAGTGCCTTATGCATGAGTTGGCATTACTTGTGGTTATTTTCAGCGTTGTCTTATTTTGCTGTGTTTAAATATTTCTAATTAGCCTGAAATTTCTCATGATAATTAGATCATTAAAAGCCTAACTGAAACATACTTTCTCTGCAAAGTCTGAGTTTTCTATTTTTGGAGGATTTTGTTTTGTTTTTTTGCAGTTTTGAGGTACAATTTTTATACCACAAAATTCACTCGTCATAAGCCTACCACGTACAGAGTTGTCCAAACATAACCACAATTGTGTTAGAATGTCACCCTCACTCCTCTGATTTTCTCTTGTGCTCATTTGTAGTTAGTCCCTGCTCCTAGCCTTAGTCAACTACTGATGTGGTTTATTTTTATAAATTGGCCTTTTGTGGGTAGTTCATGTAAACATAGTCATTAGTGCCTGGCTTCTTTAAAAAAAAAAAAAAAAAAATATATATATATATATATATATATATATATATATATATATATATTTGTATAACATTTCTATGGAAAGCTTTATCCATTCCTTTTACACTGGGTTTCAGAAGGAAACCAGAGTCAAGCTGAGATGAAGGTGGACAGTCCCAGTGCAGCCTCTCTGGCTTCAGAGAATGACTTGGAGAACAGAGGACCCAGGGGTGATTTGATCAGATGACAGGACTTGTTTTTACTGTGCCACCCACACTTCCTTATAGAGTCACCTCCACACTCTCCATGTGATCAGCCATGGAAAGTCATCAAAGATAAGTTTCAGGATTCCCACTCCTGGGGAGACAGGGACACAGATGACAGCAGATTTCCTGAACCTGACACAATATTTTCTAGACAGTGTTGAGAAGAAAATATGCCAGCACAGATATGTTAGCTAAACTTGACCACAGTTCAGACTGTACCCGATTTGAATGCAGGGTAGATAGTCGAGATTAGATGTTGAAAATCACATTTAAAAAAAAAAAAATCTCATGAGAAACATTTAACATGCTAAGAAAGTTAATTCTGTTGAGAGCATCAGAGAAGTGGTATAGTCTCCACTGGTTGGACTGTGGTTGATTAGAGGAAGGGGAAAAAAACAATCTCAGTCCTTCAAACTGATCAAAGACCTTCAGTGCATAAATATATCAAAATGTATCCAAGGTTATGTGGAGTCATGAAATAAATGTGATACATATTTCCTGAAGTCAATTTTAGTTGTTGACTTGGAATAAAACCTTAAATTGAAACCAAACTAATATATTATGCATAAGAATGCAAATAAGCATGGATCTTTAAGGTTAAAAAAAAGGAAAATTTCAAAGACATTTCCTTTTAATTGCTTATCTTCTCTATTCCATTGCTGGCATTATTGTCACTTGGGTGGAATATTTTGAGAAGATTAAATTAACAGAGAAAATGGGTAGAAGTGATTAGAACTTCTAAATCCCTCTTCTCATTGACTCTTAGAATTCATAGCTCAGTCTATGTTACAAACTCAGATGTCTCCGTAATAGGGATGCAGGTCTTTGCACTTACCAGATTGTTATCTGTGAGCATAGAGGAAATAAGATGGATTTGCAGCCTGGATTTGAGAGGGAGGGGCTTTCTTCTTACCCCTCAGCCATGTCTCCTGCTGTCATTTCAACAGAAGTCAGAGTGTGTCACTGCTCACATTTTAAAACATAGCTTTACCCCCACCATTTGGAGGGACATACTGAATTAAGCCCAAGTGAAGTCTGAATGTAAGTTTGTAAACTTTTCAGTAACTCTATTTTAGGATACCTGTCCTTTGAAAAATAACTCTGATAAAATAATGAATGACATCAGTTACTTTTTTACTGTTCATCTACCACAGTGTTGTTCTGGGAAATGGCTGCTTCCAAGGGATTAGGGGACAGTATTTAATGGAGAGAAGAGCATGAGAAAGAAAACTGATCTCCTAAGATAGGGAAAAAACAACTGGCCATAGCACAGGGCAGTTTTGAGGCATATTTATCATTACTCACTCTAAATCTTCCTTTTCTTACTTTCCAAATTCTTCATGAATCACACACCATGAATTCCTCCTTTGCTCCTATCATCAAACCTATCAGAGTGTGGGCAAAGCAAGGTCTTTGTTTGAATGGAGGACATTGCTGGCAAGACTGTACTTAAATATATTTAATAAAAAAGGTTTTAGCTTAGAGTTTATCTTTAAAATGCAAAAGACCAAGATTTGGCAGTCATCAGGGTAGACTGAACTCCAGGTTGACCTGGAACTCTGCTAACAAAAACAGGGATGCTTTCTAGAGAATTCCTGGAGGAAATCACCTCTTCCCATGGTTCTAGTCACAGGAGGCTGACAGTAACCTCTGAGGCGTGCAGTACTGGAAACAGGTAACGCTGTCTGTGTTGATCTCAGGTGTTTGCTGAAATGGAAGCATGGACAATGGTTTGCTTTAACCTTGTCTGATTGTGACTATTCCCAGTCCCTTCATATGTTTCAAGTCATGTATAGTATGAATGAATGAATGAATGTAATAAGCTCATATTAACTCAAAGTGGCTATTGTGTGAATAAATACAGTAAACCTACATTAATGAGTACCAATTTTCCCACTCTTTTGTCAACTCTTCCTTCTCTCAAAGGCTAACTCCTCCATATTATGGACATTTTCTTAATGTCCCTAAAAAGGGAGTGAACGCATATGCTTTATTATTTAGGGATATGTACAAACCCCACCTCTCACACCAATCCCTTTGACCCTGAAGTCTAACTGATCATTCTGCAACAAGGCTCATTTTTCCTTCTTAGACATGAATGGGAAAAGAAATAGAATGCCATTAAAAATATACAGACTTTAAGATATTCAGGTGCCGTGGTGGAGCTGATTGTGTCAGAGAAGACTTTGGTGATTCCATCTGCTTTGCATAAATTCTGATAGCTTTGCATCATCATAGAGGGACCACCTCAGAGATGTAGGTATGACAAGATTTGATGTCTCCATGTATCTCTGAGGCTGCTGGAGGGGCTTGGGCATTCCTCCTCTTGCGCCTGCTTTCCTCATTCCTGTCTTTCACCCTCTGCCTGTAGGTTTTGGGCAGACTGTCTCCAGTGTTTTGGCAAAGTCAATGGTGTGTGTGTGCCTCTATCTCTATTTAGGCATATCATCATGAGTTCCAATTTATTATACCAGACTTTGGGGTTTCTTCTCTTTCTTTTTCTCTCTCTGACCTCTCCATATTATCAGAACATGTGATTTCATCTTTAGGCTTGCTTTATCTGAGATTCTCAGAGCTAAATTCTTGAGTTCATCCCTTTAACTCAGAAATACTTACTGCAAACCAACCTAGAAGCCTAATTTCTTCACTCTTGAGAGTCTTCCTGGAAAGAAATTGTAGACCTCCATTGCTATCCATTCCAAGACTTAGACACTTATCTTTTTAGTTTTAGTGGAGATGGGAAATCCCAAAGCAAAATCCTATGATAATAGTGCGTCATCTGTCAGTCAAATTATGAGCATCACTCTTTAAAATTTCCATCTTCACACTGGATGATTATCCTCCAACTTTTCTCAAAGCCTG